CTCTTCGTCTGGTTTATTGGAGTGACACCAGGATTCGGTAATAATAATTATTGGGGATTTGTATACCAGCGTGTGTGCCCTGAGCATCGGTTGTTTGTTAAGGATAGATCTAGCATTAATAAGCATTAAGTAGAGTTGAGATTTGAAGCAGTGTTTGAAGTGTTTAAGCTCGTCAATAAGGTTTAAGTGTGGATCGGCATCCACTGTTTCCGCGTGGCATAACAACCCTGCGTTGCAACTAGTTTGGGCACCATGTTCACCTATGTCTGTCGAGTTACTATCCATCTTTTTTAGTGAGTATTGGGTTTAATTATTAGATAAACTATACGATGACGTAGTTCTAGGCTTGGGTAGGTTGGAGATTTGGGCCGTAGATTTTATTTGGCCTATGCTTGTACAGTCATTGGGTGTGATTAATAGTTCCGTGTGTACTAGCCCATGTCTGTTTTCTTCCCGATAGGGCGCCGACATTAGAAGGGTAAAGATCCCCACCATCTGTTTGATTAGCGCCGACAGGGATGTGTTGGATAAAAAATCATTGGTACCTTTATTGGGTGGTATCTACCAGGCACCCACCCGTGGGGCAGAGCACAACCAGCTACTACTCAGCACCATCACAGGGACACGGGACGTGGGCTATGACCAAATCACCACAACTGGAGATTTCAATGCCTCATCACTGAACCTAGGCTCGGGGTATGCTAAGGGAAAATTCAGCCGAAATCTACTGCAAACCATTCGAAATACAAGGCTGACTGAGAATGTTGGATATGACGCCAGACGGGGCCTTATTGGAAAGTCATCGAAACTAGATTATATCTTAACTAGTGACCAACCACTCTTTGAAAAGTTTCAGATCATGACTCCTCTAGGAAGTGACCATGCAGTCATAGGTTTCGGTCCTGTTCTTCATGAGCACTTGCATTGGGAGGTTACGCGATCATGTCTGTGTCATAGCAAGGCTGACTATGCTGAAATGTGGTGGCTTTTGTTCGACGCAGATTGGCCCTTAGCATAGGATGAGTTATCTGTGGATGAACACTGGGAAGTGGTTAAAGAGATTATTCATACAGCAATCTAGGTTCCCGTCCCTTTGGCCACAACACAGCCGAAAAATAGGTCCTCAAGGCTGAAAAGATGTACGTAACGTACTCTACAAGCAAAGTGGAAGGCTTGGTCTGCGTGGCGAATATCCAAGACTAAGATCGACCATAATGCATACCTGGAACTTGGGAACCGGTGCAGCGTGAGAATCAGGAGTGACGGGAGGTCATTTCAGGCTACCCTTTCCAAAAATTTCGTGGTGAACCCCAAGAGCCTGTACCGATTCATGTCGGAGAGAAAACCAACCAACCAGGAGACATGCTCCTTAGAAGGCCCAAACGATCAATATCTCACTAGTCTGGAGATGGCTGAAACATTCAGCTTAGCCTTCGCCGAACGGCTAAACAGCAATGTGGATATTACTGGTACGGACCAAAATGGTGGCACTACTGTTTCACTTGGGGGAAACCTAGTGGCTACTCCCCAGATAAACCGGGCAACAATACTGAGGAAGCTGCAGAAACTCACACCCGGAAAGTCCCCAGGTTGTGACGACATCAGGCCATCCATTCTGAAACAGTGCGCTGAAGCTCTCTGTAGGTCCTTATGCGACTTGTTGCAACACTCAATGGATTCGAGGAAACTGCCAAGGGAATGGAAAAGAAGCATCCTTTCTCCGATCTTCAAGGGTGGGGATAGGCAAAATGCCACTAGTTATAGTCCAGTAACTCTACTCCCAGTGGTATCAAAAGTACTGGAAAGTATTATTGACGATCACATCAGGGAATACCTCGATAGGTCTAATATACTCCATTAAGCCCAACTCGGTTTCAGGAAAGGCAGATCCTATGTAACAAACCTACTATCAACCTGGGACGATTGGACATCATGCTGGGATATGAATGTTCCAGTCCATGTGGTCTTCCTAGACTTGGAGAAGGCATTTGACACCATAACCTTCTCCTACACAAAATAAGCCAGACAGGTATAGGTAAGCCACTTCTGTCATGGTTAAAGGACTACCTAGCTGAAAGGCAATTTTGCGCTAAGGTCAATCGAGTCCTATCATGTCACGGCTCATCATCTGGAGTATCGCAGGGTTCTATCTTAGGACCACTGATGTTTTGAATTCTAACAATGACCTACCATGCTGTATAAGCTGCCTGACTCTTCTATACGCTAACGAAATTTGAAAACGTGGAACACTGAGGTACACTTTGATTAAGTGCCAGCTCATAATATTGGAAACCGTACCTCTTCATAAATAAGAAAACACTGGCCCGAACGGAGAGACGCAACATATTGGCTGTTGCTCTAGGAACTTGATTTTTATATATATATTTTTAATATTTTTATAGCTTGACTCCATACAGTATTTTTGATACAAGTATGGAATTTTCAGCATGTGATATCGGTAGCCCAAATTCAGCAGGCCGACTATTGATATCGGGTGTGCGTCGGCCGGGGATCGAACCCCAGACAATGCGCATGGTCGGCGAGCGTCCTAACCACTGTGCCACCGACGGTGCTCGAGAACATCTCCCAGTAAAGCAAAGGTGTAGTAAAATCCATCAACAGTTCGATATTAGACCATCTGGTCCAAACCGGCCACTAGGCCAACATTGAATAATCCTTCCCTATCATCTACCGGGCACCAAATGAATTGCCGAAAACATCCAGGTTCCACATACTCTAAATAGCAGAGGCTAATATGATCCGCATATAGCAACCGCTGCTCAGTTAGTAGTCGAAACAGTTCCACCCACTACTAAAGCCCTGGCCTTTGTACAGCCTATATATTCGTGAGTTCTGTATTATTTGTCTGACATTCAGTGTAGTGTTATGTTTATGCATAATATCACGCTTACAAATGCTACTGAACTGCAATCTATTGGTATCACTGATTCGATGTTATTTAGACATCAGTGTTATTAGTAACCATTATCCTCCCATTATTACGGATATATAACTACAGAACCTAGTGAGAAAGTTATCGAAAAGGATATCCTTTGTTCGAAAGTCAGTCCTTTGGAATTTCTCATGGGCATTTTTGAATAACTCGGATAAATTTTCCTGAGAAATACAAGCTGATTGCACATCAGCGACCGTCGAAAGTGGCTCAGGTGTTAGTTCCTGAGCAATCTAACAGGACGATATAGCTTCACATAGTCAGCAAGTCACGCGGAAATAATGCCAGGATTATTGTGATGCATTATTGTAGTATAAAGTGTTAGGCTGAAATAACTGATGCCTCAACGATGAGACCCACACCATCGGTATCACAATCCTGAGAAGTCTAAGTAATCTTTTGTCATACGCACCTGTAGACTGCAGAATGCAAGTTACACCCTGTGCTTGTCCTGCACAATGTCGGAACGTGACTTAGGTCTAGTTCTAACGGAGAAAATGGACACAAGCGTAAATTACACGAGGGATGTAGCGAGGGCATATGCGGTCATACACTTTACACATAGACAGTTAGGTACACTCACTCCTGAGCTCTTTCTTAGGTTGTACAAAACATACGTCAGACCACACCTTGAAGTGCATAATATTATTGCACCCCCACTGCTTAGAAGAGACGCCAACCTCTTGGAAAGAGTCCAAAGACGGGCAACAAAAGGAGTGGTTGGTCTCCGAAATAAACCATATGATGAAAGGCTGAAGAAATTAGGCCTATTCACACTTAGCTACCGTCAGCTTACGGGGGATTTAATTACTGCCTACAAAATAAAAAATGACCGGAATCACCCAAACAAAGGTGTTCTGCCATTGAGTAGGCATAGGCTCCCTCGTGGAAATCCCAGAAGCATGGCTCACCAGAGGGCAAGGACCCAGGTGCGCTCCCACTTCTTCTCACTGCGGCTTTGTCGTCCCTGGAATTCCTTGCCGGCAGATGTGGCTATGGCACCGTCTGTGGACGCCTTTAAGCGAAGGCTGGACAATCATGCAACGACACAAGGACTGCATCCAAATGGCCTATCCCCTTAAAATCGCATACACCATTCAAGGGTAGACAATTAAACTTGTCGTTTTTCTTCTTTACATTCTCTCCCGTCTTATTCTCCTGACAGCTTTAACTACACCTATTATTATTATTATCATTATTACCGGTGTATATATATATGCATTATTCATATTATTCTTCAAATTTAATCAGCTGACTGTTGTTACGTTTTCTTATTCTTTTTCTGCCTGTTATTCTGAATAACTTCACTAATTATATCTATCATTATTATCTCTTTTATTTTGACGACGATACCGGAGGACTAACTGGTGAAAGGATCAACTCCATTCACAGTAGTAACAGTCGTAACACACCTCATACTACAAGCCACATATAATTAATCCCTGCACTACTCATTGTGGAGTCAACCAAAGCTACGACAGTCGAGTGGCGGGACAAGCTACACAGACGTTTACCGAAGATCAGGAACTTATACCTCACAATCAAGAGACGAGCACAAAGAAATCAAATTGGTTTATATCAGCTCGTAAAGCGATAGTGGATATTGGATACGGCTGTTTACTGGATATTATGGACATATATAATTTAGTTAGGAAGTGCGATTACAGTGGCCTTAGAAAAAAGGAGGACCTTCATATTCACAGCCTTTACACAAAACTGAACTCCCTTCGCTTCATGATTTGCCATGTGCATTAACTCTTGCTATCCTACTTGTGTCACACCGAATCCCGTTGCCCTGCTTCTCATTTGTTTAGTTCCCTTAGACTCGCCTGTTACCCTTTTCTCTTTAGCATTCTTTGAAACAACCGCAGGATTGTCTGGCAAATAGAAATTTACAATTTCAAGCGACGACAGTACCGTGGTACAGACCATTCTTTCGCGTAAAATAAACAAATATACATTCTCCCATTTTGCATATTCAAGCTGCATCAGGAAAAGAGGCCGACTATACAGGAATCCTCGAAAAATTAGGAACCGTTCCTAACTAGGTGTAAATAGGCATAATGAAATCATTGCCGATCCAAGAGATATTGGAAATTGAATTCAGGACTGCCTCCGTTCTCAAAATCTTGCAATTTGAAGGTCGATGCTCCTCTCGTGTCTCATTGTCTCCACGAGATTCTCCGCAGTTTATAAATTCAAGTCATCACAAATGAAAAAAGCTTGATCAAAATTCTACATTTCATTATATCCAGTTGATTTGCGATTGATTAGACAGTCTTACCAGTACACATATCAAAATAATCTTTAGGTTTTACGTTGGAATATGCTGAGCTCTGAGACTTTGTTAGATTCGGATGCAGAGGACGATATTGAGTTAAATACAGTGGTTGCATTTGCAGCGCGTCATTTAGTGGAGGAGATAGAAGGGCAGGTGTTGTATCAAGAAAAATACCACAAGGAAAAGGTAATACCTCTGATTAAAATATATAACTAGCAGATTAAAACATTAACGGTTGCACTTGTTATATGCCTAAACATCGATATTGACCCACCTGATGTGCAGAAAATCCCACCATTTTCCAGGGTTGAAGCGTGGTTCGACCCGACAGATGCTAACAGTCTGCATGCTTTGGAAACCATTGGAAAAAATTTACAGGTAACAACATATATGAGTTCTTCTGAGTTAATTTTTTAACAGCGTATTTTTAATTATTTTACCTTTGGGTCCTTTTCCGGAAAAATTATAGGATAGCGGCCCAGAGGAACGAACGCCTTGTTAACCTTGAAACGCAAATTGCGATCTTGGATTCAGATATTTTGATTGAGGAATGAAGGCTCTAAGTCAATGTTAATACGCTTATAGTGGGTTTCTGTGCCTGTTCAAAATCCTTCTTGAGTCAGTCATTAGAGGGCTGTGACGCCTCTGGTAGTTAGCTGCAGGGATTTATGGCTGTGAGTATTAGAATATCACAGTGATATGGTTCCTCCTAGGCTTCTAAACTCCCTCTGTCCTCTGAGGTGTCCCAACATGGTGGGAAGGCAAAGAGAAAGTAGATCAGGTCCATAGTCATCGTTTAAAATCTCAATCTTTACTTTTACTTTACTTTATTTCGGCTATCTCCTACGGGAGGATGAGCAGGCTTCATGAACATCTCGAATCATCGCTGTTCAGGCGCGGCGATCTGATGCAAGGTTTTGCGACAGGGTTATCCAATTCTTGTTCCACAGACGGAGTCCATAGACGGTTTGTAGCCCCAGGCATTCAATATCAGCCTTGACTGTACCAAGCCATGTTTTCAGTTGTCCACCCCTGCGACATCGCCAAGATGGTAATGGCGAGGGATTTAGAACTGATTTGACCAGATCGTCATCTGGTCGGCGCAGAACATGGCCAAACCACCGAAGGCGACGTTGTTCGTTTGTAAGAGAGTTCATGAAGTTTCATGGGAATTTGGTACGAGTGATGTCCCCAGAATCGCTCGCCTTTTGTTTGAGAGTGCAGCTCTAGCCTTTACACCACCAAGTGTGACCTACAAGGCAGTAGGAGTGGAGGAGGGAGTCCACTATCCATTGGCAGCCGGTGACCGGAGTTCGGTTCATACGCCTTTTTGAATGAGGCCAGACATCCAGGACATCCAACAAGCCCTTTCTCCATACGTCTGCCGGTGAGCTCCAGTGAGCTTCATGCGCCAGTCGTTGGAGGTTTGGAATCAGGGTTTAGCCATCTCCCCTAGACTGTCATCCAATGGACAGTCAACCCGGTGAAGGGCGCCGGGCATCCGCTTTCGCCCTCTCACTTTGGTGAAAAACACCTCCGCCACGTGAAGGCAGTGAGTAGAACTTCCTCAGGAGAGGCTATGTAAGACGCCCGGTCATATGGGAGGATTTCAAGAGGTGTGCGGAGGGGTGGCCAACCCGCAGCGCAAGGCACCCACCCCCGACCATCCTGAGGTTTTGGAGGCTCAATCAATGTAGTGTGACCTCTCTGTGTACAGTACAACAGGTATAATAGATTCAAACTGTTTGGTCTTTCATCGCACCGTAAGCTGGTCATCCAGAGAACCATACATGTCGATTCCCTAGAATTTGAGTCCCTCTTAAGACTGGCTACAGTTTTCTAGTATTAACCTCACCAGTGATGCATATGAAGTAGTGGGTATTTCTGGTGATCACAGTAAACGCTATGCGTGTCGCCCACAGAGATCTAAAATTTTGAGCTTCCACTGCGCGAACAGTTGCTGTAGTGTTTAAGTCTTGACTTATTATGAAACCTAGATGTATACGAGTCTCAACTGATGAGAGTGTTGTTCCTTCTAGTTTGTATGAGCTGACTCTTGCGTGTCCAGTGTGCACGGTTGCGTAATTCGCTAAGTTTTTTGGACCAATCTAGAAATTTACTGAGATATTGCCGTTATCTCCCCTTAACACTCCAGATTTTGAAGTTGTCTGCGTAAAGGACCATAGGGGGTTCTGTGAGCACAGTTAACTCGTTGATATGCTAGATGAATAAGAGGGCCCGACTGCGGTGCCTTGTGTTACTTCACTTCGTACTGCCGTCCAGGAGGAGAGTTTTAAATTGATCCTCACTCTCGGTATCCTACCTATGGGGAATTCCCTAATTCAAATTAGTAAGCCGTCCTTGATTCCAAGGCTTTCCAAATCCATGGGCAGTCTTGTTTGTGGTACTCTGTCGAAGCAGTTGCTGAATTCTATGAAAATGACATTGACGAGTTCTCCGCTGTCTCTTGCCGTAAGGTTTGTCAGGCATGGGAGGTTTCCTCGGAGGCCCTGTTGCGCTCTAGACAAGTTGTTTTCCAGATGCGCCATAGTTGTTTTCCTGATGATTCCTTCCAGAATCTTAACTAAGGTACTGGTGAGACCGATTGGCTTGTAGTTTGAAGGACAGTGTCTTGATCCTACTTTGTGGATGTGGGTTGCTTCCTTCCAGTCACCCGCTAGCACTCCATTGAAGAAAGATAGCTTAAAGATCGTAGTCACTGAACCGGCTCTGTGAGCTGCCCTGGGTGGTCATCAGATACCATTGACTTCTTTAGGGAATCGAATACGATGTTTTGGTCGATGTCGACGAAATCTGTCTTTTATTTCTTTGGTGCGGCCAGGCCTTATGCTTTGAGGTGGGTGACGACTTTTGTAGTGACACTTAGGAGAAGTAGTCTGCCATTGCCTTCGTTCTTTCCTGGTCCTCTTCGATTGTGTCGTTATCGATAGTCAGGTTTACTGTCTCATCGGATGTCTTATTCCTGGGGTTCATCAGCGAAAACATTTTCCTGGTTTGTGGCGTAGCATTTTGAGCTAGGTGCATTTCGAACTTCATCCGTGACTGAAGAATTCCTGCAACACCTTTCTTCCTGGAGACTGTAAAAATTTCCAGCCTCGTAAGTTTCAAGCGTGATAACTAGGTTCCAGCATTTATGCTCACTCCTGAGCAATCTGCAGTTCTGTCGGTTCATATGTGGTGGACAATGTTTTCGACCTAGTGATGAAGGGTTGGGTTACCCGAGCGTAAATATGCTCCAATTGTACCCATGTAGCTTCCACGTGAGATTCTGAATTTATGTACCAGTCCTTTGATATGGCCGATGAAACGATAGCATTTGTGTCAGCTCTCCCGACGTTTGGCCGTAGTGGGGTTTTTGTCCATGGTACCGCTGCGGCTGTAAACTTGAACGTAAGCATAGCGTAACCACTTCTTCTTAGGAGTGGTAGGTGTTGTAGGTAGTCGACATCCTCCCCACGAGAGAAAAACAGGTCTAACGTTAGGAAGGAGTGTTGTGAGTCATAGCGCGCAGGCTTCGTGATATGTAGTTGGGCTAGTGAATTAGTAGATTTTGACAGCTTGCAGTCAAATGTTTTGTCTTAGGATGATGTTGTAAGGCTCGTGCAATCAGTTGTTGGGGCATTGGAATAGCCAACTACGAGACTCTTATACTTGGATATCCATGAGCCTAGTTAGTCTGCTCTGCAATCTTCACTGCGATATATTGTAATGAAGTCGATATCTTGTTCTATGCATTTCTGTCTGCAGCGTAGAAGTCCCCAATGCCTTGCAAGGCTAGGCACTTCTTGAGGTAGGTGACTAGATGACTACACCACCGTTTTGTGGCTTGGTCAGTCTTCCCTACGCACTGTGAAGTTTGAGAGGTGAATTTTATTGCCACTGACACCGGATGTGGGCCATGTCCCCATAATGGCATAGACATTTGGGTTTTCACAGTCTACCATGCAACCTAGCTCAGTCCACTTGTTGAACAGACTGTTCGCATTAGTGTAGCAAACTGTTAACTCAGTTTACTGCTTCCATGCTCCATCCAGAGAGTTTTTAAATCATCAGACTTCGAAATTTTACATCTCGGAAACCCTTATTGATGAGATTCTTCTTACCGTTTTAGCATCGTTCCAATCCCTTAGTAATTCCAAAGACCTCAGTGTAAAAGAGAAGAAACTAATGACAGATTTTCTTGGAAAATTGAATTAGGAATGAAAAAAAATATCGCCAACCATGTATGATTCGATGAAACCAACAGGCACCAACATGCCTACTCGAAGTGCGCAAATCGGGTCTTTCTTGTCGTCCAGTTCTAAATATGTATAATTCACCATATCACGCGACAGCAAATTGGTTGGTTGAGATCCTGGAACCTTTGTGCAAAGAAATTGAGAGATATAGAATTAGTGATTTCTCTGACTATGTTTAAAATATGTGAGATTAGTGTTAGTAATGAACTTATGTTATCCATGGATGTGTCATCACTATTTACTAATGTAACCTGTTAAAACGGGGACTACATATGCCAAAAAATCACCGAAAAGCAAATAGACTTCAGAATTCAGCTCAAAAAAATACTCCTTAAATGTACAATGAATGTACATTTTGTTCTCAACGATTCAGATTGACAACGAATAGATGGAATCACTATGGGTTCATCATAAGATCTGATGGTAGCAGACTTCTTCCTTGCGAATCTTAAAAATCGAAGACTGAAAGATGCCGTCAATGAGTTGAACATGTATTACCGTTATATCGACGTTACATTTCTTTTAGTTAATGAGAATGTAAACATAAATGAATTGTTGATAACAACCACCTTTCTCTTTCGTTTGTGAAGAGAAGCAGGATAATACACTACATTTTCTGGATGTCTTGTTAAGTAGGCAAGAAAACGGATCACATGGGAAAAGCGTACATAGAAAAGGCACATCCACAGCGCAATACACTCATTTTCTTAGTTTCGTGTCCATTAAATATTAAAGGTACATTTTGATAAAGAAAGAAAGATCATATTTGCAGCATAAAGTGATATCATTGTATCTCACAGGTTCCCATCAACTGCAAAATACCTGAAGTCACAATGGTTATAAGTATTAACAATAACATGCTTCAATGTCTGGTTGGTAGTGGAGAAAACATTACGAAGTTAACGCATCCGAAATATAAGCATTACAATTTTTAGTTTGTCACCATCAATTTTTATACTTTCAAAGTAGAAAAGGAGGAAGCAGGAGAAGACAGAAAACAGAAAAATCCAATAAATAGTGTCAGTTTGTGGTTTCACAAAATAACTCAAGAAGGTTATAATTCATAAAACCGAAAACTTACTCAGTGCGCTGAAACAACTAATATGGATGACAAATCAATATAATCAAAGTGCAGTTACCAAGGGAATGAGAGATTACACCCTCTTTCTGTGTGAATAAGTTTGACTTGAGTCGTTTGATTAGGCCTGCTTCAGCAAATCGTAGTACATTTGCTACCCCTTGTATTTCTATTATCGTCAAGGATTTGGGAATCTTAATGAAATGACCCATATTCACAAGATGTCTGGTAATTGCACTTTGCGAATATCTGCTTCCTTTTAGACATAAGTTTCTTGGGATATGCTCTGGAGGCCGGATAGAGGCTCTTCTTTCTGTCTTCCAATTTATTTACTTCCGCAAGTGCGCGTAAATTTATAAACGCAGTTAGAGGTGACATCAGCAGGGCTTTCATCAAGTTTCACTTAGCTTATGGAGTATGTGGTGCTGCATAGCGTTACAACCTTAGCTGCAGGGAAGCGTCTTATTTCTCCTTTCATTCTCTTCTCAATCTTTGGTAATACTGCTTCTCCTTTGAGTAGGAGACAACAGTTGGGCGTTTAGTTTTCTCGTCCTTTTCTTTGCTGTTATACTTTTAGATAACTCCCTTTTGGTACTCACGGAGGAAACCCTTATTTATTAAGTTACAATTTAATAGGATTTATCATGTAAGATTTTGTTGCAGAGACTAGCCAGAGGTATACGGAGAACATTTTATACAACAAACCAATGTTTACCATTTCCTAGTAGACGAATGATTGGGACTCAAGAGGAAGCATAAGCTAGATAGTTGTGCCACGTCCGTGTCTGTTTACAATCCAGCATTCAAGGTGATCCATCGCATCCCATCGAGTCTTTCCGTTGCACTACATATTCGTCAACTAAATGTAGCTGAGGCAATAGGTATTCGGATTACTAAGCGTAAACTATGCATTCAGAAGAAGTTTGTATAGCCGTTGTGCCTCCCTTGGCCAATTCAGTCGTAAGCAACTTACGATATCACCACGACCCCTCACTTATACTTTTAATCCCCTTCATATTATCCTTTAGTCTTATCATGTCTTCATAAAAATACAGTTCTTTTACTTACCTTACAATCTAGCATTACTTAGTCGAAACATTCGTTTTTCCTAGCCTTTATCGACTGTCTACTTGGGCATTTGTTTGTTTAACTATTCTGTTTTTCATTACTCTTGTTATTAGAAGTCGTTCCACAATTTTTCCTTATTATTCGTAGAATTATTACTATGGCTAATTTCACCATTTATATGTACAATCTTATCATCCTATTGATTAGTCTATATTTAATATTTATTTGTAGTTATGTATATTAGATTTGAGCCTGTTGAGATCTAATTAGAAACAATATTATTCGTTTAGATTTGTTGTTCTAAATATGAAAGAGTTTTGGTTAATTGCTGATTCAAGACGCTTCAGCGTATTTTTGCAGGTAATGCTAAAGACGATGAGAATGGAATATAGACGCATACATTGGTGGAAAACGGATATCCTTTGAAGTTTTTGAATTGATGTAGAGGTCAGTTAACTTCAAAGCCTGTAGTTTGTTCAATTTCACTTAAGTCTTACAATTGGGAAATAAATAGTAGGATTTTGAGACAGAGACTAAGTTCGGTCAATCGAAAAACTTGGCAGTTCGATTTAAAACTATTGAAACGGCTCTGTTGTTAGCCTCAATGTTGCGCATGTGATTATATCACATCCCATATTATGTAGCAGTTTACATGTGTGTGGTCACATACGTGGGGAGGAATGGTGGCGTTTCGCACCATTGTGTGCAAGAAGAGATACCCAAAAGGCTTAAAAAAGTTGAAATATGAAACCTCAGTAAAAGTATTTGGCAGAATTCCAACCTTTTTTATGGTGAAACACTTAATGAGTGGATTACAAGATTGATATCAAAACGGTTTTTAGGATTATTTATAAAAGGCGTCAATAGCATACACTGAAGCGATAGCTATCCGTTAAGCTGAGCACCCCTGTATGTACAGGAGCAATTTGTGAATACCCATAACCTATCTCGGTAATCCTTCACTAATTACATTATCAACAGTAGTGTGAATTATTATCCTTCATATTTCTTAAGTCTTTTATCATGTTGCTCATTTTAGCTGACCTTTCATCTTCAAAATGGGTGTGTGATAAGATTACTTGAAATGTATTACACAAATGCATCACATTTTTCAAATGAACTCCGTCTTCTTATAACGAAGAGATTTTTCACGGTGTTCAAAGTGTTCCTGTAACTGTTTGGCCATTTACACACTAGGTGTTTATTTAAACAGATTCAACCTATGCAATACGAATTAAGGGGTTTGTAGTATTAAGAAATGGAGAATTTCACTTAAGCGCTTTTGAAACAGTAGTTTTCGTCACTCTTATAAATGTTATATTTTAATAGTGATGAATCTGTACATCAATCTTTTGTGTGACAGACTCAGAAGTAAGATTTACTTATCGATTTCTTTATTGCGTCATTATTTCAGTCTCAGTACGAACGGTGGCAACCACGTGCAAGATACAAGCAGTGCCTTGATCCTACTCTGGATGATGTGAAGAAATTATGTCTCAGTTTGAGACGTAACGCCAAAGATGATAGGATTTTGTTTCACTATAATGGACATGGAGTCCCAAGACCCACTGAGAATGGTGAAATATGGGTTTTTAACACTGTAAGTACAAATAAATTGGCCGAACCTGTTCTGGCGATACCTGCTTTTATGATTTGATCTATGCATATATATTTAAAAAAAATTTCACCATTACTTCTTCATACTATCTTTCTCTGACCAATTTCTTTCTCTATTTTATCATTTCTGGTGAGTACGCTAGCAAGTGGCACTACATTTACATTAAGTGGTTCTACAAAATGAAGTTTAGGTTCAAGGACGCTTCAGCGTTATATTAAATGTCTTCGTCACTGTATCAGTTGTTTCTCATGAAGTATACTCTGCTTTTTGTAGCTAGTTAAGAATACAAGTTTACCTAAATTTTTGTTACAACTTGGTTTTTGGCATCGATCACTTTCATTGTTTCTCTTCAATTCTAACTTACTCTATTATATTCCCAATAGTTTCTTATTATTTTTGCATATAATAAGATATGTGAAGCTTAAATAGTTCGAATGTGCCAATTTCACTTCATTCTTATCAAGGTGCTTAATGTTTTCTCCACAGATATGATCATTATTAGTGTGCCAGGTAACAGTTAGACTCAAATTCTTTGGTTGATTTACTGTGTAAATACTTTGCAAAGAAATGAATGGATTGTTTTCTGTCGTATATCTTATGTGGTAGAAGTAATTGAGGTATTTTTAGTGCTATGTCAGTTTACTCCAATACATGGTTTGCGTTTATTTTGGTTGTTGTATTGTTCAGTTCTCCTTATGTATACACACTGTGTTGGATAGTGTTTAAAAAAAAGTAAGTGCAACTTGGTTACCCGGTAGAAATTCTGAAATAATAGGTTAAACGGTAGCTGATATGTAAAAACTTATATAATACTATCTGGTGGTCATCGAGCCTAAAAGTAGGTAGATCAGGGTTTGAATACTCGATCCATGGGTTTAAAGTCTAGGGATTAAATCATTGAAACACACCAGCGAGAATTGTTTTAGACTTTTCCAAACATTCGTACCACTTGTTTTGACTAGATTGAGTTGTAGTTCATTATGAGCATAAGAGAAGCATGAACAATAATATGTTTTTGTGAATTGATTTGCCTTGACTAGATGAAATTGTTTGAACCCATAAGGTCAAAATTGGTATGATTGTGTGTTGTTTGAGTTTGTTGATAAGATGTAGTTGACAATTAATTGTCATTCAGTTCCAGCCGAATTTTTTGCATCTTACGGAACTTAAATTCTTGCTTTTTGTTGTCACTGTCAAAAAAATTTTGAAAAATCACTAGCTTGTGTTAGTGATGATAGGAGAAAGAGGGTATTCTGGTAGAATACCATTTGAGTGTACGATAAGAATTCTTTTCAGCTTGGTTATTCACACTATAGCTCAGTCATTCATGTGTTTTAACTTTGTATTAGGTAGTAGCATTGACAACTCACTTATTTCTTAAGGCTCATTCTTGCATAGTGTGGACGTCTGTTCATCATCAGTTAGCTGCATGGCTATACAAACTATCAATACAGTACTAGCAGTTTTAAATCGAACCGTCTATCTTTCTGCTTTTTCTGTAGTAATATTAGAAGAACACAATCCCATCATCATTCGTAAGTGTTTGTGGTCAAATAATTCGTGCTGGAAGACCAGAGAGTATCATAAACCCCCTTACGCGTGAAGTGTATAGACCTACGATGGGCTGCGTTCTACTGTTAACAGATCTCATGTCCCTTTCTCATTCTCCATACCCTAGTTTAGCCAACTCGGTAGTAAATTAATTGTCCATATATCATTTGTGGTTTATAATCTAGTACATGAAAATAGACCTGCACAGGCTAACAAGTTTTATTAGTGGTCTTCAATGATATTTTTTGGTAGAATTGAGCACTTAAAAGTGGTCATCCACTCAAATACTATACAAGAATTGAATGTAGGTCACTAACGATATACTACAGAGGTAGACAGTAAAGGTAGAAATAATATGTAGTTTACTGTGAAAGTAAAAAAGAAACAGGATAGTCATTCTTTTACGAGAATGTTGGCACTCGTTTCATCATGTCCTAAAAAGTTTCACTCCAAATGCATCCACTGATTCCTTTGATATTATGGTCAAAAACTTGTTGATTGATTTGCTTTTCTGTTGGATAAAACATTTGATTCCCAATTTCAAAATTATTTAGTAGTAGAATAAGTGATTAAAAATACCCATTAAAATTTTCAAAAGAATGGTTATTGAACAAAGAATACTCTTTTCGATAACTTCATCATCAGGTTCTACAGTTATATATACATGATAGTGAATGAGTGAATTGGTGTTATGAACAACATTAATGTTGTTCAAATTACATCGAATCAGTAACATCAATAGATCACAGTTCAATACCATCAACATAACAATAAACTGAATATCAGAAAAATTAGGAAAGATAATACAAATTCATGAATTTATAGTCTCTACTGAAGGCGAGGGCAGTAGTAGTGACTGGCTGGATTTGCTTCTTTTGCACACAAAGCACTGGTTGTTTCACGCGAACTGCGATAGCCTCTGCTGTTTGGAGCATGTGGTACCTCGATTGTTTTTGGCAATTTATTTGACACCCAATAGGTGATAGAGAAGGATTCTTCAATGCTGGTTTAATGGCCGCTTTGGACCAGATGGTCTAATATCAAACTGTTGATGGATTTTGCTACACCTTTACTTAACCATACTGTGAGGTGTTCTCAAGCACAAAAAATCAAGTTCTTAGAGCAACGTTTTTATTGGTACGAGGTTTTATTTAACAAAAGGGGATTGTAAATGCTTGCATGACCATGTTTCACTTGTTTTCATATTTCCAATCTCTGTGATATTCACTCCCATATGTTAACTCGTGTTCATGCGGGTAAAGATAGTTGATTGAACTCTGAACGTCCTACTTTTATTCTCGTTCTTTACTTCCTTTTATTTGTGGTGTTTTATGAATAATCTTTGAAGTCATTTGTAAGAAAAATTACTTACTGGAAACATTGGTTAGTAGTCATAACATATTATTTACTGGCAGGAGTTTGTAATTTGCGATGAAATAATAATGTGATCACAATGCGAACTAATATGAATTTGACTTGTGAATATGGACTGCCTGTGTGAAACTAGAACAGTTTTCTATTAGTTTTTTTTTAACGATCCTCTCCAACTGATGTCAGTCTGTAACGAGAACTATCCTGGAGTTGTTCATTTACTTACAAACTTCTTTGTGAAATATTAATTATCAAATTGATTCTTAATTGTTGTTTACAAATGACTTATTAATCTGATTTTCGATTGCTTTCATCATTTCACGTTGGATTTTTATTTAAATGTACGTTGATTAATTTAATTCTTGGTTTAGAGTCATTAAATTGACGTCATTATCCTTAAATTATTATCAGTGTATGTTTTTATAAACGGTTGAAACAATTATAGTTTGCCTTAGGTTTAAGTATTTATTAAAGATTTTGGATTTGTAGGGATTTTGATTAGTTCTCCAATGTAGACTTCATTACAAATCGATGTCTCATTTTTTAGAGAAACTTAGCAGTGGACATCTGTTCCGTCCTAGTTACGAGCTGTTGAGCCAGTGTGCACCCACTGTCGCACCAGGAATTGAAGGTGGGACATTTAGGTAGGTCCGAGGTGAGCTGATTGACCATTCAACCATTGGATTAGGCAGCAGTGAACTATGAAATCTCTGACTGGTGTCGGTTTGTGACAACATTTACATTGGAAAATGTATTACAGTCGAGGAATTTTCTATGTATTACAATTAAGGCGTTTAAAAGTGGTAATAACTTAATTTCTACTGCTAGCAGGTTTGAATTAGGATTCTATTGTAATCCATGAAACGTTATTCACCATAGAATAGATTTTAATAAAAGTGCACAATGATATGGTAATATTTACTGACACAGGTACAGTTAATACATCATAATCATATCAGGGCAGTCACATAACTTTCCAACTTAGTTTATATGATTTCATTATTTCTAGTCTTTTGATGAATTGGTAGTAATATTTTCGGTATTGCTGGTATCAGTGTTGCGTTATTCCTGTTCCATGTGTTGGGTGTAGATTCTATAAAGAGAGATTCAGTGGTCGATCTCTCTCTCCACCTGTCTATATTGCTTTTTAGAGTTGTATCTATGTTCCACCCTATTGTGTAATTGTAGTTAGTACATACGTTGCGATTGTGGAGTTTTTCTCTAAGCTCTTGATCTTCGTAGGGTAAATTATTCTACATTAAGTTAAATTAATACATTCTGTGTTTTTTATCACATACAATTATTCTATGATGCAATTGTGTTCTACCACAACACCTAAATTCTCTTCCTATGTCGAGGAAGTCAACTTTTTTGGTTTTTGTAATTTGGTACTGCTTGTAGGCTGGTTCGCTGACCAGCGGGTCACATGTATTGCATGAACACTGACTGACTGAGTGTTTTCAGTATAGAACTTTGCACCGATGTGCAGCAGTTCAAGTCGCCACACTCCATGTAGCATACAAAGCAAGAGCAGAAAGTAGGAGAAATGCAAAATAGAGACAGCAGACAGGGATATGAGACAAATGGAATAGTAATAACAAAGAACAATGTAGTTTCATTGGCTGTTATAAGTCACAAGGAGTGGATGCATCTGCGCTGACTTTGAACCATATCACCGATTGTCTCCAGCCATTGGTTTTTACTATCCCGAGGACCCCAACCAAGAAGTCTTCACCTTCCTACGTGGCTTAAACTACCTGTCGTAGATTTCATTGACTGGCGCCATGTTTTGGTTTGACCACCACTAGCTCTTTTCCAAACTGACCCTATTTCGGCTAACATTGCCTGTCTAGGAAGGCGATGGTTAGGCATGCGTAAAACATGTCCTAACCGTCTCAGTCGATGTAGCTTCACACCCTCGTTGATTGATTTCCCCTTCTTACCTAGCACTCGACGCCTAACCTCAATATTGCTCACCCTGTTATACTACCTAACACGGGAGATAGAACGCAGGTACCTTTGTTCAAAGACAGCTAGTTTTTTCATGTCCTCTACTCTCAATCGCCAGGTCTCACAGTCATAAAGGAGGATGGAACAAAGTGGTGAGCAGTACGCATGGCCTTTGGTTGACAGTCAGCCAGATATCACGTCTACTAAGCCAGAGATGGCGTAAGTTGGCGTATTCCAAACGAGCCTTCTCTATCTGTGCTGAGATTTCGTCAGCGATCAACTCGCTGGCGTTGCAACTTCTCAAGTAAGTGAGGTTGTCAACACGCTTCACTAACCACTTCACTCTCTATCTTTAAGCTGGGAGTCAATGTAGTCTAGTCCAGTCTTGTAGCATCATCTTACATTTGGCGGGAGAGAATCGCATGCCAAACATTCGAAGATTGCAGCTCAAGGCGTTCAGAAGACTCAGCATTTTGTCAGCGTCTTCATCTAGAAGGACTATATCATCTACATATTCTAGGTCAACGAGATTATTCCCTGGTAACATGTCAATCCGTGAATCGCTGAAGTCAGCAGTTAGGGTTAATTCCATTAGTACATCTATGATGAAATCAAAGATAAGTGGGTACGATGGGCATCCCTGACGGACACCACCAGTTATCACCACTTCAGATGACAAATCTTCGTAGGCTCTCATCTGGCTGCATGAGTTCGAGTAGAGTGCCTTGATTAGTGCGATGTTTTTTCGCCGCATGAACACTACTTCTAGTGGAAGACTATTGTAATTTTGCTAAGTGGAAAAATGTTCAAATTTTGACACAGGTTAAAAATCAGTGACAGTTTAAAATTAAAGGTTTATTCGTCTAATCCAAAATTTCTGTAGATTTAGAATTAAAAAACATTTGTTTTCTCCAGATCTATTGAATATGATTAGTTTGTATTATTTTTTGTAAAGCATTATATGTTTTCAGGTATTTTCTTAAATTTATTTTCACAGAAATTTACAAAATACATCCCATTATCATTGTATGATCTCCAGAGATGGTTAGGTGCACCTGCAGTTTATGTGCTTGATTGTCAAAATGCTGGCAGAATTATACAAATGTATGAGGTGTTTTGTGAACGACGCAAAGCCGAGGTAAAGTCTATCAGTTTGACTTATTTGTTTGTTATCTGCAATTTGCTTCTCAAAAATTAAGCATGCCTTCTGTTTTTGTATTAGTTATTGAACACAGTTTTGAGGTTATAACAGAGTATTGTGCAAGATTTTGCGTTCTACAATTGTACCTTATTATTTTGGAGGAAGGTTAAAATAGTCAAATCTATTCAGCTAACTGAAGTTCATCAAAACAAGTTGTACCACAATTCTCATATGATCTTAGTATGCAAATTTCTATGTGATTGTTCTATGCTTTTCACTTATGGCTGTTTTCATTGCTACATAGTAGACCAGTAGCTGTCAGAACGGGAAAAAGACTTTTTTCATGCTCGTTGAAAATTTTCATCATTTGAAGTGTACGCGTCAGCAATATTCTTACACAGTTATGCACGAATAACATGTTATGTGATTTTGCAAAATAATGGCACTTCTCTGTTTAATGTTTAGGCCTTAAAGTTCAAAGATGTTGGAACTGATTGTTATTATTATTTGTCCCTTGTGTTCATATTGGAACGGATACTGAAAGATGTTTCTAAGTGGATGTGCTATTAGAACGTCCCAGATTATCGTCCTCTTGGTTGTTTCCTTTCCTATCTAAGTTGAATGGGAATTAAATCAAGTAGGCTGTGAATAATTACTGAGTATTTTTATGATATGCATTATCATGCAAAAATAGTTTATATTTCCATCCTTGGTTATCAAACACACTGGCGAATTTCGCATTATTTCGAAACCCATTTCTTATATTCGTAATTTACTTGTTGAAATTTGAATCTAACTTGATATACGAGAAACTGCCTTAAACACTCAACCTTCAGCTAAAACCTTAGTCCTGAAATCTCTGTCGATTTTGATTTGGACAACTAGGTGATACTGCTATGGACGCTTACACCTTCCCTTTTTGTGGGCCGGTAGAAATGATTGATTCCTTTTCGGCCGCTTCGTGGTTTTATGAGAATGGTTCATGATCTTCGGTAGTTTCGCATAAGGTCACCCCCGCCACTCATTTGCCGTGGCTTTGGTAGAACGTGAGATGATTAGGAGGTCGGTTAAATTTAACGGGTAGTCTGTGGTCGAGGTTGGTCCTTTCATTGGTTAGTCGTTCAGTGTGGTAGGAGAATAACAATAATATGGCACATTGATACGAAGTAATGTAAAAATAATAAAAATAAATAAGTACCAAGGGGTTTTGCATATGTACGAGTCATTGGGAATTATGAAACCCAAAGGCGTGGTAAAGGTAAAGGTTCCGTTTGTACAATTTAATGGTGAGATCCCGTTTTTTCGCTCATAAATTCCAAGATGTGAGCAGCAGGTGTATCAGTGGCCTGTTCCGTGAGATGGGCATATGACCTTTTGTGTGTGTCGTCGTGGTGGAGCAAAAGGCGTACATGTTGACACCTGTAAGATAGCGAACTGTACTTGCGGAGGTGGAGAATTAGTGATTCTGACGTGCGATTCGATCGTATTACATGAATATAGGAGTATAAGACTAGTCGAATTATCTAATAGCTGGTTGCCTCTGAAGTTTCCTTGAGGATAGCTGGTATTCTGGTCAAGCTAATGATTAGAAGCATTGAGGAGAAAATGTGCTCAGTCTATTCTCAAAGTTTTAATAAGTGAGAGTCTGAAACCGATTAAATAGAGTTCTAATAATAATAATAGCTTTATTCCAAACAGTGTTGATATAATATACAGAATTTTCAGTGGAATTTATTGCATGATATTTTCTCTTCAGCCACGATCTTCAAATAAAGTATTAATTGACAACACTGCTATCTAACCTGAAGCGTGAATCATGATATCTCTTCTGTCTCCTTCGAGTAATGCAATGTCAATTATAAAAAGTTCAGGAGTACGTTTTGAGAACCGAGGACACAACTCAGGAACAGTTATCTCATGTATTGGAATAGGTTGCCACTCTGGATTATGCTTTTTCTTATGGTTGGTCGGAACTTGCGAATCAGCGGGTCATAAACATTTTAAATACTCACCAGCGTAAATAGTACTAATAGAGGTCACATTTTATTAGATTATATGCAGTATTGAAATAGTAGAGATTTGTAGCTCAGGTGGATGTTATTAAATTAGTTATGTTCTGTCAGCTGGTTGATTTAATTGCGAAACAACATATCTGAAGACACTAACTTTACAAGAGAAGAAGAAACAGAATTCCTTTCCTAGATGTCTGAATCAAGAGAACTAACAGAGGAAACACAATTATATCGTAAATCAGCGCACACAGACCAAATACTCAACTGTAGTAGCAATAAACCAATTACCCACAAAAGAAACTGTGCAGACATTGTTTAAAAGAGTTCGAATATAGTGTATCAGCCAGTGTTGGGGAGAATGGAGGAAAGATACCTACCAACAGTGTTTAAAAACAATGGATATCCTCATAATTTCATCAAAAAGTGTTTAAACTCGAGTCACAACACTTAACAACAAGCCCAAATCAAAGACAAGAAAATTCATCCTACCATATATAAAAAATATCTCCGTAAAAGCAGCTAGAATATCAGACTGTCTGAAATAGATAAAGCACACAAGCCAGCCAGCACAATCACTTCATTCGATATTGTGGGAACCAAAAGATCCGACAGAAAAATTAATATCTTTTACAAAATAAATTGCATACACGAACTGCAACAGACTTTACATCAGACGAAGTGGGCTTTCCCTTCGAATACGAATCCAAGACCACAAATTAACTGTGAAAAAGCATGATATATATTGTTTCATATCAGTGCATGTAGAGAATTATGCACACCAATTTGATTGGGATAGTGTATAAATTTTAAATAGAGAACACACCAAAAATGCATATTAATACATGTGTAAAACTTCGGCACTCTCGTTGTAAGTAATTCCATATTAGTTTGTTTATTAGATCTACCACACAGTGAAACAGTATTATTTACTGGATGACGTTTCGAACAAAATTTATTGTTCATAATCATATCAATTGTAATCACACGACATTGAAACTTGGGTTTTATAGTTTTCTTTTTGTTTCTCCTATTTGTCATAGGGGTAGTAGAATTTTGCAGATATCGGGGACAGCTGATGAATCGTTCCTATTACATGTATTTGCAGTTGATTCGATAAACAAAGCTCCTGTTATCAATCTCTCCCTATACCCTGTGACATTAGATTTTAAAACTGTCATCCTATCCTATCCTATTGTATGGTTGTGTGTAACTGCATGTAGTGCTATAGCTGAACTATTCTCTAGATTTCTTATCTTATTTGGATCAACCAATCTAGATTTTGCTAAGTTTTTATGTTCAGCTAGTCTGACAGCCCCTGTTCTACTAGTTTGACCTATGTATTTGACCCGACAAACATTGCAGGGTATTAGGTAAACTAAATTGTTCTGTTTTAAAGGCTCCACAGCAGGATCCTTTAACCGACAGAGCTTGTTTCTAATTGAGTTTGTGGGTTTGAATGTCATTTTTATTCCTGCCTTGTTAAGAATTCTGCGTAAGGTTTCCGAGGTTCCTTCCTTGTATGGAATTACTACTGATGATTTAGATTCCTTATTGTTGGTGTCGTCATTAATAATAATATTATTATTATCACTATTACTATTATCATTATTACTGTTATTATCACCATCGCTACTATCATTATTTAATTTATTTTTACATTTCCTTACATATTTCCTGACTAATTTATCCGGGTAATTATTAAGTTTCAAGGCTTCTTTTATGTGTATCAGTTCCTGTTTTAGATTTTCTTTGGTACTACTTAGTTTTTGTGCTCTGTCATTTAAACATTTCACCAATCCTATTTTTACTGACATAGGATGGGACAATCGGAAGTCCAAATATCTGTTTGAGTGTGTGGGTTTCCTGTAAACACTAGTGTTTAATTTCCCATCTTCCTTTTTACGTAGCAATCTAACATTGGGAGCTGTACTCCCAGCATTATGTCCTCAAGTGGCACTTTTGTCCTAAGTTCGACTTCTTGGTTAGAAATGAGTTCGTTTCTGACTGCCTCCATAGCCATATTTATTGGTATGCGTGTGTATAAACTGACAATGTCAAAACTAACCATTTTTTCTTCATTATCTAATTTTAAATTATCTAATCTGTGTTTCAGTTCATAAGAATTAGTCTAGATTTCGAGTGGATTTTTAGGGGATTTAATACCATGGCTAAATATTTAGATAATTCATAAGTAGGTGAATTTCTAAAATCAACTATAGGCCTAATAGGGTATCCTGACTTATGAACTTTAACAACACCATACATCCTACTAGGGTTATTAGTTTTGGGCATTAAATTAAACCACTTGGACTCACCTAGAAACGGCTTCATTCGGCGTATAAGGTCCACTGTGGATTTCTTAACTTTATTCATAACTATATCTATTGGTTTATTAATTTCCTCATATGGTCCTGTTTGTATGCGAGTATTTACCTTGTCCAAATAGTCTGATTTGTCTAATACTACTGTTGCATTTCCTTTGTCTGACTTTGTGACAACTATATCCTTGTTATCCTTAAGGTATTTCAGGGCTTCTATCTCTTGTTTTGTCAGGTTAGGCTTTCCACATTTTTGTCGTTTTAATGTTAGTGCACATTGTGCCCGTACTTCATCAGCCGTAGTTTTGTCTATCCCACTTAGTGCTATTTCTATTTTAGGGATGACATCCTCAGGTTTCAGCTTGTCTACTGATACATTGAAATTTAGTCCTTTTTCTAATACACTTATTTCCGTAGGACTTAATATATGTGTTGAGAGATTGATAACCCACTTTGATTCATCGATCGCCGTTGACTTTGGATTGTTGACTTCATCATTCTGAGATGGAGATTTCTTTTCTAATAATTTGTTGAACTTTTTGATTTGACTATTTTTTTGACTTTTTGAAAGTTGCTGATTTCGCATTGCTGCAGGATTGTGTTATAAGATCATAATCTACATTGTTAACTATTCCTTTTAGCTTTTGTTTTAATTGCTCAATTTCAG